CACTGGAGTCACACAAGTCACAATGGAGCCGGAGGATATCTCCTAGGTAAGAGGATCTTGTTAAAGCTAGGACAGCAGGTTTAAGGCCGTCAAGTCTAAGCAGTTATTCAAATCTTTTGCAGCCTTTCTGTGCATGTCTCAATCATGTGACTTGTCTTCCAACCTGTGGTGTCTCAATCATGTGACTTGTCTTCCAACCTGTGGCCAAATCATCTGGCTTTCAAAACCCCGAAGGAAAACACAGACATAATCAATTCAGCAGAGGTTCTATTAAATAAGAGTAGCATACAAAGCTGTGATTATGGGGAAGCAAAGAAAGTTTGAGCATTAGCGAGGTAACACTTGCTTGCTCCTTGTTGGAGCCAGCCCTTCACCTGCTATGCAATAGGTACAATTACTGTTACATTAATTACATTGCTATTTCACGTCCTCTGTATCAGTGCACGGTTAAACTAGTCAAACCCTCCACACGTGTAGGTTTCCCTACAACGACAGCACACACTACCATTTCAATTATGGCACAAAGATTTCTTTTGTGTTTCTAACAAGTGTGGTCAGTACACTAACCTTGCGGTTGTATCAGAGGCAGCGCTCCTTCAACTCAATTCTACTTCCTGGAACTTAATATTTCCTGAAGAATGTTTATTTGTAAATCCTTTACAGCATCAATGTTTCTCCTTCAAACTTCTCCTACATCAAAATGACCCAGATAACAAACAACACACGCCACCAAGCAATATCTGTGTTACCTTCAACATTTATGCTTGATACTCATTTTATTAAGCCCCTTTCAACCTATTTGCTCTTTTTTTTTCTGTGTTAGTCAGGGTTTTAATTTCTTTTTTTATTAAAAATTTTCACCTCCTCCCATTTCCCTTTTCCTCCCCCTCCCCTCTCCCCCTCCCTCTCCATTCCAAAGAGCAGTCAGGGTTCCCTGCCCTGTGGGAAGTCCAAGGTCCATCCCCCTCCATCCAGGTCTAGTAAGGTGAGCATCCAAACAGACTAGGCTCCCCCAAAGCCAGTACATACAGTAGAATCAAAACCCAGTGCCATTGTCCTTGGCTTCTCAGTCAGCCCTTGTCATTAGCCATGTTCAGAGAGTCCAGTTTGATCACATGCTCCATCAGTCCCATTCCAGCTGGCCTTGGTGAGCTCCCATTAGATCAGCCCCACCATCTCAGTGGGTGGACGCACCCCTCGCGGTCCTGACTTCCTTGTTCATGTTCTCCCTCCTTCTGCTCTTCATTTGGACCTTGGGAGCTAAGTCTAGTGCTCCAATGTGGACTCTATCTCCATCCATCACCAGATGAAGGTTCTGTGTTGATATGCAAGATATTCATCAGTGTGGGTATAGGATAGGGCCAGTTCAGGTGCCCTCTCCTCAGCTGCCCAAGGAACAACCTGGGGACATCTCCATGTAAACCTGGGAACCCCTCTAGAGTCAAGTCTCTTGCCAACCCTGAGATGGCTCCCTTAATTAAGATATATACTTCCCTGCTCCCATATCCTCCCTTCCTCCATCCCAACCGTCCCATTCCCCTAAGATCTCCCTGTCCTCCCCTCTTACTTCTCTCTCCCCATCTCCCCTAACTCCCACCCCACCCCCACCCCAAGATCCCAATTTTTGTCTAGCAATCTTGTCTACTTCCAATATTCAGGAGGATAACAATATGTTTTTCTTTGGGTTCACCTTATTTAGCTTCTCTAGGATCACTAATTATAGGCTCAATGTCCTTTATTTATGGCTAGAATCCATTTATGAGTAAGTACATACCATATTCATCTTTTTGTGTCTGTGTTACCTCACTCAGGATAGTGTTTTCTATTTCCATCTATTTGCATGCAAAATTCAAGATGTCGTTTTTTACCACTGAGTAGTACTCTAATGGGTATATATTCCACACTTTCTTTATCCATTCTTCCATTGAGGGGCATCTAGGTTGTTTCTAGGTTCTGGCTGTTACAAATAATGCTGCTATGAACATAGTTGAACAAATGTTTTTATAGTATGATAGGGCATCTCTTGGGTATATTTCCAAGAGTGGTATTGCTGGATCCTGGGGTAGGTTGATCCCGAATTTTCTGAGAAACCGCCACACTGATTTCCAAAGTGGTTGCACAAGTTTGCATTCCCACCAGCAATGGATGAGTGTTCCCCTTACTCCACATCCTCTCCAGCATAGGCTATCATTGGTGTTTTTGATTTTAGCCATTCTGACAGGTATAAGATGATATCTCAAAGTTGTTTTGATTTGCATTTCCCTGATCGCTAAGGAGGTTGAGCATGACCTTAAGTGTCTTTTGGCCATTTGAACTTCTTCTATTGAGAATTATCTGTTCAGTTCAGTGCCCCATTTTTTAATTGGGCTATTTAGCATTTTAAAGTCTAGTTTCTTGAGTTCTCTATATATTTTGGAGATTGGACCTTTGTCTGTTGCGGGGTTGGTGAAGATCTTCTCCCAATCAGTAGGTGGCCTCTTTGTCTTAATGACAGTGTCCTTTGCTTTACAGAAGCTTCTCAGTTTTAGAAGGTCCCATTTTTTCAATGTTGCCCTTATTGTCTATGCTACTGGGGTTATACGTAGGAAATGGTCTCCTGTGCCCATGTGTTGTAGACTACTTATTACTTTCTCTTCTATCAGGTTCAGTGTGTTCAGGTTAATATTGAGGTCTTTAATCCATTTGGACTTGAGTTTTGTGCATGGTGATAGATATGGACCTATTTTCATTCTTTTACAGGTTGACATCCACTTATGCCAGTACCATTTGTTGAAGATGCTTTCTTTCTTCCATTGTATACTTTTAGCGCCTTTGTCGAAAATCAGGTGTTCATAGATTTGTGGGTTAAAATCCGGGTCTTCTATCCGATTCCATGACCAACATCTCTGTTTTTGTGCCAATACCAAGCTGTTTTCATTACTGTAGCTCTGTAATAGAGTTTGAAGTCAGGGATGGTAATGCCTCCAGAAGTTATTTTATTGTATAAGATTGTTTTGGCTATCCTGGGTTTTTCTTTTGTTTTTCCATATAAAGTTGATTATTGTTCTCTCAAGGTCTGTGAAGAATTTTGTTGGAATTTTAATGGGGATTGCATTGAATTTATAGATTGCCTTTGGTAGAGTTGCCATTTTTACTATGTTGATCCTACCCATCCAAGAGCATGGGAGAGCTTTCCATTTTCTGGTGTCCTCTTCAATTTCTTTCTTCAATGCCTTAAATTTCTTTTCAAATAGATCTTTCACTTCCTTGGTTAGAGTTACCCCCAGATACTTTATGTTATTTGTGGCTATCATAAAATGTAAAGTTTCTCTGATTTCCCTCTCTGATTCTCTATCCTTTGTGTATAGGAAGGCTACTGATTTTTTTGAGTTGATCATGTAACCTGCCACATCACTGAAGGTATTTATCAGCTGTAGGAGTTCTTTGGTAGAGTTTTTGGGGTCACTAATGTACACTATCATATCATCTGCAAATAACAAATGTTTGATTTCTTCCATTCCGATTCGAATCCCCTTGATCTCCTTATGTTGTCTTATTGCTATTGCTAGAACTTTGAGAACTATGTTGAAGAGATATGGTGAGAGTGGAGAGCCTTGTCTTGTTCATGATTTTAGTGGGATGGCTTTGAGTTTCTCTCTATTTAATTTGATATTAGTTGTTGGCTTGCTATATATTGCTTTTATTATATTTAGGTATGATCCTTGTATCCCTAACCTTTCCAAAACCTTTATCATAAAGAGGTGTTGAATTTTGTCAAATGCTTTTTCCACATCTAATGAAATGATCACATGGTTTTTTTCTTTCAGTTTATTTATACGATGGATCACATTGATAGATTTTCTTATGTTGGACCAGCCCTGCATCTCTGGGATGAAGCCTACTTGATTGTAATGGATAATTTTTTTAATGTGTTCTTGGATTCTGTTTGCCAGAATTTTATTGAGAATTTTTGCACTGATGTTCATGAGTGAGATTGGTCTGTAATTCTCTTTCTTGGTTGGGTCTTTGTGTGGTTTTGGAATCAGGGTAACTGTAGCTTCATAGAAAGAGTTTGGCAATGACTCTTCTGATTCTATTATGTGAAACACATTAAAGAGTATAGGTATAAGCTCTTCTTGGAAGTTCTGATAAAATTCGGCATTAAAACCATCAGGTCCTGGGCTTTTTTTTTTTGGTTGGGACGTTTTTTATGACAACTTCTATTTCCTCACGACTTATAGGTCTATTTAAATTATTCACCTGGTCTTGATTTAATTTGGGTAAATGGTACTTATCAAAAATAAGTCCATTTCTATTACATTTTTCAACTTTGTGGCACATAAGCTTTTGTAGTAAGACCTAATGATTTGCTGAATTTCCTCAGTGTCTGTTGTTATGTTCCCCTTTTCATTTCTGATCTTGTTAATTTGCATGTTCTCTCTCTGGTTAGTGTGGGTAAAGGTTTGTCGATCTTGTTGACTTTCTCAAAGAACCAGCTCTTTGTTTCATTGATTCTTTGGATTGTTTTCTGTGTTTCTATTTTGTTAATTTCAGACCTCAGTTTGATTATTTCAGTCTTCTACTCCTCCTGAGTGAGTCTGCTTCTTTTTTTTCTAGAGCTTTAAGCTGTTCTGTTAAGTCTCCAATGTGTGCTTTCTCTGTTTTTTTAATGTGGGAACTTAGAGCCATGAACTTTCCTCTTAGCACTGCTTTTACAGTGTCCCATAGGTTTGAGTATGTTGTGTCTTTATTTTCGTTGAATTCAAAGAAGACTTTTATTTATTTATTTATTTATTTATTCCCTGATCCAGGGGTTGTTTAGTAGTTGACTGTTCAGCTTCCATGAATTTGTAGGCTTTCTGGGGAACTTGTGTCTGGAACATTTGACAAGAAAGAGCCCCTTTGAGTAGTGTGTACTGTCTAAACGACATGTTTCACAGGTGTGTGTTATACTTACTGGAGGCCTTCTGTGGAAATGCTGTGTAGAACAGTTCCACATAGAGAAGTCCACATAGTAATTTGGTCTTTCCCCTCCTCTCTAGAACAGAGGAATCAGCAGAGTTTCGGGAGCAGAAAACGATAAGAGGAAAAGCAATAGATACCTATTATGCAATATCTCGCAAAGCACTGTGGGAATTAAAATGACAAATGCATGCTATTTTTCTATGGCTTCTGCTTTTAAAAAATATATGACATCGGTGATAAGAGATCGCCATTTTGCAGAAACTCTAATATACAAGTGGAAATACAGCAGGGAAAAAACACACTCCCTGAGTCCAGACCCTCATTCTTGGGAGATGTCAGTGCTACTGTTTTCTTTTTCCATTTTATTTATGCTTTTATGTGTGGGGTGTTTTTCCTTCATGTGTGACTGTGCTCCGTGTACATGCAGTGTCCAAGGAGTTCAGAAGAGGGTATCAGATCCTATGGAATAAGAGTTACAGATGGCTGTGAGCCACCATGTGGATTCTGGGAAGCCAACCTAGGTCCTCTAGAAGAGCAGTCAGTGCTCTCAACACGTGAACAATCTCCTCAACCCCATTGCCACTGCTTTGATGTGTTTCTTCTTCTGGGCTTTTCCACATGTGGGGATATTTAGATATTTAAATATTTCATTTGCATGGGCTCATAAGCTCAGTAGCGGTCTACAACCTGCTTTTTCTCTCTTGCCAATACACGTGAGTCCAGAACACTCTTCATAGCAAACCACATTATATGTATCCTACTGCATAAAACATGACATATTTAAGTTTCCCTTTCCAAAACACTTGGCAGGGCTAGAGAAATACTGTGGTTGTTAAGAGTACCTTCTACTCTTTCAAAGGACATGAGTTCAATTCCCAGTACCCACAGCAGGAGATCCAGTGCTCTCTGCTGGCCTCTGGGGGCAGAGCACATGCAAAGTGCCCATACATATACGCAAGCAAACACACACACACACACACACACACACACACACACACACACACACACATGCAAATAAAAAATCTTTAAAATAGGGGCTGGAGAGATGGCTCAGTGGTTAAGAGCATTGCCTGCTCTTCCAAAGGTCCTGAGTTCAATTCCCAGCAACCACATGGTGGCTCACAACCATCTCTAAAGAGGTCTGGCGCCCTCTTCTGGCCTTCAGGCATACAGACAGAATATTATATAAATAAATAAATAAATATATTTTAAAAAAATCTTTAAAATATGAAAAGCAAAGGCCAACCATCAACCAGCTGTCCTACCAGACAGTTCTGTGTGGGAGGCTCTAGAATTCGTGGTCTGTGAGGCAGCATCAGCGACAATGCTGGTCATGGTGAGGATTTTGTTTTTGTTTTTGTTTTTTTGAGCCTCAGTATTCCAACCATAATATAAGAAGGCTAAATTTGGATGGTTTTTCAATGCTCAGATAACCCCATCATGCTCTTGCCTTTCCTTTGGGTTCTTTTCTTTTTCCTTTCAGATGTTCAGTGTTTCCTCGTTCTACTCTCTCTCAAGCAAAAGAAGTTGTAGAAAAGCTGTGCATTGGCCATACTGGTGGCCGAGCATCGAAGGCTGTGACTGTCAGAAAGGAAGCTGGCCAGGTGAGGCAGTAGACAGTGTGTGGCCCTCAGCTCCCCGCACCAGGTCGGAGCAGGGAAAACTCACCGCTTTTATAACCCTCTCTACTCGGTCCACTCGGAAAGAGTCAAAGCCATCGTTCTCCCCTTTGTACTTTTCCAGGGCGTTATGGGCTTGTTGTCTGTGAACCTCGGACTCTCCAAGGTATTCCAGGAGCACAGGGCTGTCTTTGGTGTTGCTCAGGGCTGAGGATACTGAGGAAGAAGAAAGAGGGTGAGACCACAGGGTCAGAGGACCAGGTCTGAATACAGCTCATGTAAGCGCAGTGCGCAGGGGACACTAGCTTCTGTATTAAAAAGAGAAGAACTGATAATGCTTAAAGTAACGTGTCAGGATCAGTCAGTCAGGCTACACAGACACCAGGCTGTCCCTGCCTGCTGGTACTTGTTGGGACCTCTACCCATGATGCCTTGTCCACTCCAGACTTCACAACTTCCTATCTTTGTCAAGGAGCAAGCTTTTAAGTTAAAGGTACAGAAAAGGATCCAGCAGTCTCTCTCTCTTTCTCTTTCTCTGTCTCCCTCTCTCCTTTTTCTTCTTTCTTTTTTCTTTTCTTTTTTTTTTTTTTTTTTTGGTTTTCAAGATAGGATTTCTCCGTGTAGCCCTGGCTACCTGTAACTCACTCTGTAGACCAAGCTGGCCTCAGACTCGGTGTGGCGCATGCCTTTAATCCCAGCACTTGGGAGGCAGAGGCAGGAGGATCTCTGTGAGTTCGAGACCAGCCTGGTCTACAGAGCTAGTTCCAGGACAGGCTCCAAAGCCACAGAGAAACCCTGTCTCGAAAAACCAAAAAATAAAAAAAATAAATAAATAAAAAATAAAGGTGTGCCCCACTACTGCCCAGCTCTCTTCTGTCTTTCCAACCACAAGGTATCACTCTGTAGCTGGCCTCAAATTCACACCTTGGCCTCCTGACTGCTGGGAGGGCAGGCCTGTACTATTGTGCCTTGCTTCTTTCTTTCTTTAAAAAACTTCCTATAGAAGCTGCTGGCTTGTTGCCTACGTTCAATCATGCTGTAATCTCTCCTTCTGAAACTAATTCTTTCAGAAAAATAAATAGGAGTCTGGACTCTGGAACCAACGCTGTAGAGATGTAGCTAGAGTCATTTCTGTCATGTCTCCATTGCTTCTGAGAACACACATTGGAATCTTTGCCAGATCCAGTTAGTTTTATCTCTAAAATAGAAAGTTCGGCAATGGTTACTTCATAGTCTTATGTGAGGCTAAACAAAACGACCAGTGCATGACACAACACAATATGTAACCACTCTGTACACTGTGGGGTGATATAGACCGTCTAACTGTCGAAGCCAGTTCTCGCCAAGTGTTAAGAATCTGTGAAGATGACACATTCTATTTGATTCCAACAAGAATCCTAAATGAGAAAAACCTGAAGAGGTTACACGACCTGCTCCCCAAGCCACAATTATTTGGAGATAACATACCTGGGCTGGCAGAAGTTCATGACCTTGAAAACAAAATCTAGACACAATGGAGACACGATTCCATTCCAACAGTGTTGACTCTGAGGCAACTGGCAAATAAGGAAGCTTGAACTTAAGCTCAGGCCGGCCGAAACTCAGAGCTACATCTCTTTAGTGGTGTGTGTACTGCCTCTTTAAGTCTCTATGAGTACATACTAAATCTCTTTAAATGACGTTTGCCGGGGTGGTGATGTCGTCTATTTCAGCAGAGGGAGTGCGAATGGAGAAGGGAAGGGCAGCGGCCCTCTCTGATGGCTACCGTGTGTTCCATTATGAACACCACCATATGATCGAGTTCTATGTTAATCTGGAGTGAGCAATTCGGCAGACGACCTTACCAGAGCTCGTGGTGCAGTTATAGTTGTTCACTCTAAAGTCTTGAGACTCGTTAGAGTATCTTGCAGCTATGACCTTACATTGTCCAATCACCTGCAAAAGCAAGACAATTTTAAGCCCTTACGGAACCATGTGCACAGACGGCCTATGACAGAATACCAAGGCCGTGGTACACCATCTCATGTAATGTGTATTTGGGGATTCGTCCACCTGTCTTGTCCCAGAGCGGCCTTTTCAGCCTGCTCTGTGTGCTGCACACCTTTGGCACACCAAACCCTGGTGAGAGCAACTGTTTAAATGGGTCGTGACCACTTCCCAAACATTATCAAAGGGGACATAACTAGTGTGTCCCCTCGGTGTGCAAAACTCTTCTGGCCCTGACATCCCATGTCTGCTGATCCCTTGTGCTGTCTTCTGTGAAAGGGAGACTGGCCTCAGTAACCAGGGCCAGCATGCACAGCAAGGCCGTGTTCCTTGCTGCAACCCTGGCTGTCAACAGAAGGACCGATCACTCTTCAAGGCACACAGTTCCCAGTTCATACATTCATAGACTGTGGTTCTGGAAATGACATGGGCGTTCCAGTTGAGGAGACTTAAGTCTAAGATGATTGGGGATTTGCCCAAGGCTCACAGCAGCTGATGTTATCCTGGGGACGCCACAAACCCTAACAACTTACTTCAACGGGGTTCCCGAGAATGGTTCTTAAGGGAGTACTATTTAAGGCTGACGTCATCTTCATGCATAAGCAGCTTTTTCTAGCTTCCATGTGGCTCCACTGAGTGAGCGGATTGGATAGAAGATAGAAGAGCAGCGGTCCTAGTTACTTACGATTTCAGTTGGCCATGAAGCTTCAAGACAGTCATTTTCGGATTTTGTGGATAGGACCCAACAGTCAGATTCTTTCACGTCTAGGACAAAGTAGTAGATGATGGCGTCTCCCTGAGGATGACAAGGAAGGATGGTGTCAGTAGGATGTGGGAACCCAAAGATTTCTCGTTTTGGTTTGTTATTGTTTTTTATTTTTAATGATAGAAATTTCTTCCTTTCCCTTTCCTTCCTTTTTCTCCCTTTACCTCCCTACCATTCCCCTCCCATCCATTCTCCTCCAGTTTATTCTCCTCCCCTCCATCCTCCTGCCCTCCATTCCCCTCCCCTTCATTCTCCTCCCCTTTATTCTCCTCCCCTCCATTCTCCTCTCCTTCCTTGCCCTCCCCTGCGTTCCTCTCCCCCTCCTTTCTCCTACCCTCCATTCCCCTCCCCTTTCCTTTTTCTGTCCCTTGCTCCTTCCCTTTCCTGTTTAAGAACAGATCCTAGGATGTGAAAACCCAGGCTGGCTTGGAACTGAGGGTCCTGCTTCACACCCCCAAGTGCTGAGGTCATAGGCGTGCATCACTATGCCCATCAGCAATCACCTTTCTTAAATCAAAAAAAATTTTTTTTTGATTTTTCGAGACAGGGTTTCTCTGTAACTTTTTTGGTTCCTGTCCTGGAACTAGCTCTTCTAGACCAGGCTGGGCTTAAATTCACAGAGATCCGCCTGCCTCTGCCTCCTGAGTGCTGGGATTAAAGGCGTGCGTCATCACCGCCCGGCTCAAATTTTTTGGCATACCCAAATTTCTGCAGATATTCTTTCTGGTGTTTGGGTATCAGGGTAATTGTAGCCTCATAAAAAGAGTTTGGCAATGTTCCCTCTGTTTCTTTTGTGTGGAATAATTTGAGGAATATTGGTATTAGTTCTTCTTTAAAAATCTTGTAGAATTCTGAGCTGAAACCATCTGGTCCTGGACTTTTTTGGTTGGGAGACTTTTGATGACTGTTTCTATTTCTTCAGCAGTTATAGGTCTGTTTAATTTGTTTATCTGGTCTTGATTTAATTTTGGTAAGTGATATTTATCCAGAAAATTGTCCATTTCATTTAAGTTTTCCAAATTTGTGGAGTACAGGTTTTCAAAACATGACCTGATGATCCTCTGTATTTCCTCTGTCTGTTGTTATATCCCCCTTTTCATTTCTGATTTTGTTAATTTGGATATTCTCTGTGTGCCTTTTGGTTAGTTTGGGTATAGGTTTGTGTATTTTGTTGATTTTCTCAAAGAACCAATTCTTTGTCTCATTGATTCATTGTATTGTTTTTATTTTGTTTATTTCAGCTCTCAGTTTGATTATTTCCTGCCATCTAGTTCTCTTAGGTGAGTTTGCTTCTTTTTGTTCTAAAGTTTTCAAATGTTCTGTTAATTCACTAGTGTGGTATTTTTCCAGCTTCTTTATGTAGGTGTTTAGTGCTATGAACTTGCCTCTTAACACTGCTTTCATTGTGTCCTATAAATTTGGGTGTGTTGTGTGGTCATTTTCATTGAATTTTAGGAAGTCTTTAATTTCCCCCTTTATTTCTTCCTTTACCCATTGATGATTCAGGTGAGCATTGTTTAATTTCCATGTGTTTGTGGGTTTTCTAGAATTAGTATTGCTGTTGACTTCTAGTTTTAAAGCATGGTAATCTGATAATGTACGTTGGGTTATTCCAATTTTTTTTGTATTTGTTGAGGTTTGTTTTGTTGAGTATGTGGTCAGTTTTTGAGAAGGTTCCATGAGGTGCTGAGAAGAAGGTATATTCTTTTCTGTTTGAATGGAATATTCTATAGATGTCTGTTAAGTCCACTTGGGTCATGACATCTGTTAGTTCTCTTATTTCTCTGTTCATTTTTTGTCTGATTGACCTGTCCAGTGGTAAGAGGGGAGTGTTGAAGTCTCCCACTATTAGTGTGTGGGGTTTAATATATTATTTAAGGCCGGGCGGTGGTGGCACACACCTTTAATCCCAGCACTCGGGAGGCAGAGGCAGGCGGATCTCTGTGAGTTCGAGGCCAACCTGGTCTACAAGAGCTAGTTCCAGGACAGGCTCCAAAACCACAGAGAAACCCTGTCTCGAAAAACAAAAAAAGCCGGGCGGTGGTGGCGCACGCCTTTAATCCCAGCACTCGGGAGGCAGAGACAGGTGGATCTCTGTGAGTTCAAGGCCAGCCTGGTCTACAAGAGCTAGTTCCAGGACAGGAACCAAAAGCTACGGAGAAACCCTGTCTCGAAAAATCAAAAAAAAAAAAAAAAAGAAAAACAAATATATATATATATATATATATATATATATATATATATATTATTTAAGCTTTAGAAGTATTTCTTTGACATATGAGGGTGCCCTTGTATTTGGGGCATAGGTGTTCAGTATTGAAATTTCCTCTTGATGGATTTTTCCTGTGACTAATATGAAATGACCTTCTTTGTCTCTTTTGACTGATTTTAGCTTGAAGTCTATTTTGTTAGATATTAGGATATCTATACCCGCTTGTTTCTTAGGTCCATTTGATTGGTATTTTTTTCCCAACCCTTTACTCTGAGATGATGTCTGTCTTTGAGTTTGAGATATGTTTCTTGTATGCAGAAGAAGGATGGATTTTGTTTTCGTATCCAATATGTTAGCCTCTGCCTTTTTATAGGTGAGTTGAGTCCATTTACATTAAGGGATATTAATGACCAGTGGTTACTGTCTAATGTTAATTTAGTTTTCATCATTGGTGATGTTAATTTGTGCATTTTTTTTCTTCTTTGGGATTTGCTGTAATGAGATCATCAATTGTCTGTGTTTTTGTTGGTGTAGCCATCTTCCTTGGGTTGGAGTTTTCCTTCTAGTAATTTGTGTAGGGCTGGATTTGTGGCTAGGTATTGGTGAAATCTAGATTTGTCATGGACTATCTTGTTTCATCCTTCTATGGTGATCGACAGTTTTTCTGGGTATAGTAAGTAGTCTGGGCTGGCATCCGTGGTCTCTTAATGTCTGGATAATGCTTGACCATGACCTTCTGGCTTTCATTGTCTCCAATGAGAAGTCAGGTGTAATTCTGATAGGTCTTTCTTTAAATGTTTCTTGACCTTCTTCCTTTGCAGCTCTTAATATTCTTTCTTTACTCTCTATGTTTAGTGTTTTTTTTTTAAATGTTTATTTATTTATTATGTATACAATATTGTGTCTGTGTGTGTGTGTGTGCAGGCCAGAAGAGGGCACCAGACCTCACCACAGATGGTTGTGAGCCACCATGTGGTTGCCGGGAATTGAACTCAGGACCTTTGGAAGAGCAGGCAATGCTCTTAACCACTGAGCCATCTCTCCAGCCCCCTATGTTTAGTGTTTTGATTATTATGTGGCAAGAGGACTATTTTTGGATCCAGTCTACTTGGTGTTCTGTAAGCTTCTTGTATCTTCATAGGCATATCTTTCTTTAGTTAGGGAAAGTTTTCTTCTATGATTTTGTTAAGTAGATTTCCTGTGCCTTTGAGTTGAACTTCTCCTTCTTCTATACCTGTTATTCTAAGATTTGGCCTTTTCATGGTGTCCCATATTTCATGGATATTTTGGGTTAAGCTTTTGTTTGATTTAATGTTTTCTTTAACTGGTGAGTCTATTTCCTCTATTGTATCTTCAGCGCTTGAGAGTCTCTCTTCCATTTCTTGTATTCTGCTATTCATGCTTGCATTTGTGGTTTCTGATCTTTTTCTCATAATTTCTGTTTCTATAATTCCTTCGGCTTGTGTTTTCTTTGTTTCTATTTCAGTTTTCAAGTCCTGGATAGTTTCTTTTATATGTTTGATTTCTTTTTCTTGGTTTTCTTTAAGTGATTTGCTGATATCTTCCAATTTTTTTTGTTTGTTTGTTTCCTCCATTTCTTTAAGGGAATTTCTCATTTTATTTTCAAGAATCAAACATTCTCTTGAGGTTATTTTTTAGATCATTTTCTTCTGGTTCATCCATATTTAGTTGTTCAGGTCTTGCTGTTGTAAGGTTTTTAGGTTTTACTGGTATGGTATTGTGTTGCTCTTTGTGGTGTAACATGTGTTCTTACCTTTTCTACTCATCCTTTCCTCTAATAAGTGTGATTGGGGCTGTCTGAGATTCTGTTGAATAATCTTCTATGTGCCAGTGAATCTAAAGCTCAGATGGTTGTTCCTCATGGTACAGTCAGTGTCACAATTCTAGTTACCATGTTGGTTACTCGGGTGTTCCTGAAGATCACTCAGCACTCCTGTGCTTTGCTCTGCTCCCTTGGAGTTTGCTGTCTCAGATCTTTGCCTACGTTGCTGGTTTTGATATGTTTCTATAAATCTTGGTCTGGATCTCCTCCTGCAGAAGTCCCTGGCTTGGAGTAGGACCTGTTCTGGTGGAGATGGCTGACTCTGGATCTGGTTTCTGGCTCAGTCCTGATCTGCCAGTGTTCCGGGGCTGGGTTGGCTCCCAGGACTGGATTTGCTCCTGGCTTCTGCTCCCAGCAGAGCTTGTTTCCCCAGGCCCTCTCTGTCCTAAGTGTCTAGTTCAGTTCCATTCTTGTGGAATTTGTTGCCAGGGTGGAGATCCTGGCCTCCAGACAACTTTGACCTGTATCTGTAAATTCTGGTCTGGATTCCCTCCTGCAGAAGTCTCTGGGTTGAAGTTGGACTTTGAAAGGTTTCTGGTTCCGGTCTACAGCCTTGGAGGTCCCAGGCTCAGGTGCACCTGAACCTGCAGACCTGCAAGGGTTCCAGGGTTCCCTTTGATGTCCCAGACCAATGCCCAGACCCACAAAGGTCCTGGCTCAGGCCCACTCTCTCTGAGGTCTCAGACTCACGCCTCGTCCCACCGAGATCTCTGGTTCTTGCCTATTCCCTCAGAAAACCCAGGTTCACTCAAGTCCAGACTCGCAGAGGTCCTGGCTCAGGCCTAGTTCCTGGGAGGTCCTAGACTCTCGCCCAGACCCACTGGGGTGTTGGCTTAGGTCTACTCCATTGAAGGTCCCAGATTCATGTCCCCAGCAGCCTCTGGCTCTGGCTCACTTGCTCAGCGGTTACTCCCCTGTA